ATATATATATATATATATATATAAACAATGTTTGTAAGTGAAATTTATTCAAGGCGATCTGTTCAGTTTGGCGATTTGCAATATGCAAATGAGAATAGTTAAAGCAAGTGAGAGATGGGTCTAGCTATGCGAAATGATACATATCTGGCACATCCCGAGAGTGCTTCGCTTTAATGTTCCTTCTCGAAAAATGTGATGACCGTGAATGTTGCACCAAGAGATGAATTGATTGCCGGATCTCAGCAGACAGCTTTGCCCATTTTCGCATCTTTGGAACTTTATCTGATCGCAGGAGGCTCTTCCTCATCTGTCTCACTCGCTTGCTACATCCAGAACATATCCAGAATATCTCAGCTTTAAAAAAAGCTTTGCTATAGAAATGCCTACACAAAACGTAACAAAGGGAAAAGAAATAACCATTTATATCTTATGACTGTAGTGCGGTGCCTATTATCAGTTAATGGTTCCCTGTTCCTATCTGCCGGGGAAAGACGAATGTCGCAGCTACTACGAGTATTAGCATAAACTGTCACTGATCTTTCTTTCACGAATTCACGTGCAAAAAGTTATTAATTTTCAGTGTGATCAAGCTTCCTTATGCTCCACTTCAGGCCGATATCATACTTCTCATAGACTTTCGGTAGTATCTTCAGGCTATTTTTGACACCGGTAAAGTTTGCAGCCAAATGAAAAAAGACAAAAACATAGGTGTCTTGATCTGCAAGTGAGTCCTGTGGGCAAAAATTAATCGAATGGTGTGAACTACTGGTCAATCCATTTTCTCATAAATTTAGTTCCGCCTTCCAAATCCCAAGCCTCTGCGTGTTTCTCTTTTAAAAATCATAACAGTTTAAAGATGCTCTAGATCAAATTCAAAGCTATGCTTCTGTTTAAACTCTGTCTAGTTCATTTATTTTTGGACAGCAAATATGTTACATCCATAGACACGAGATTTTATCCTTGTGAATTTCTCATTGGGAAATCCCGAGTTCTTTGGCCTTCCATTTCTTAGAGAGACAAAGACAAACTAATTGGAAAGCAGCTTCGAGCTGGCCGGTTTAAAAATACCTTTCTTGGGTCTTTGGCTTGATTACCGCACTACTCTTCAAAACATCCGACACTTTTTGCAGAAGCAGCTGCGACGAAGTGTCGCTTGATTGCTAAACATGTGTTTGTTTGGAAGATGTTTTTGTGAACTAGAAGTAGGCGGCCCAAGAATTTAAAACTTTGCATTTCTGTAAAAACCGTAAGAGAGGAAAACTTGACTGAGCGGATGCCAGGAAAGGCAAACATTTACTTTCATGCTGCCAAGCCATCACACCGAAAATTTCTTGCCAAATTTGAATATCTGATAACCTCGAACATCTAGCTAAAACAGCATGGTCATATACTTCCTTTCGTACTTCTTGCCAGAAGTGCGGTTGAGTCGGAAAGGCTACTGACTCTTGATATCGATTTCTTAACGATGTTGTTGTCCTTTTAAACCTCTGAATGTGAAACAGCATGGGATGCTACCGTATTCCCTTTCTTTTCAATCTGCTGTTGCTTTAACGAATCATTCTGGCAGCCTCCGAAACAACTAGCTTTTGAAACTTCAGATAAGCATGGGGCAGCTTAGAGTTGCAATTAAGAGAAAAGAAGGGCTTTTTTAAGTCGGAAAGAGGAAGCATTTTTCAGTGCCATTTGCTAAAAAAAAGACTTTCAAAGGGAAATTTACTAATTGATTTTAAAAAGGAACCAACAAAATTGCAGTTGTGGCACGACAAAGACGTCGATGGTTGTTGCACTGATACCAAGATTTTTGTGATGGGTGAAAATAAAGGTGAAAAATTCAGCTGGAAGAATAGCAAGCTTGGCTTATCATGAATAGCATTCGAAAGCAAAAAGAACGTCTAAGCAAATTACTAAAATACCAGGAATTTTGCAAAAATGAAGAGAGATCGGATTCAGAAACTCATTTTTTCTGGATATTGAATGAAATCTAAAATATGAAGAGGAATGAATAGTCAAAAAAAAAGAACTGAATGGTAAATTTGCTCCGGTGAATGCTAATATGGAGATTTTTTGTGGAAAGTGGAAATGCACACTTAATCTGGCATACATGAACATTGACTTTAAACTGTTTGGATGGCACGTGAGCTAGAAACGTTCTTGTGAAATCCCAACTTCGTTATTTTTGCGGTTGCTGAGTTGAATGTGGGTGACAAAAATCCGAACAAACACGCACGCACGCATGCGCGCACACACAAAAAAAACACACACATACACACTGACAACCTTTCAACAGTAATGCGTTTGTATAAATATGCAGAAAAAAAAAACAAACCGGTAAAATTTCTCCTCCCTGGAAAATATTTGAAAATAAGTTAGATTTTGAACACTTTTTTCAAAGGTCACTTCGACTTATGAGGTTATAGTTCGTAAAATGATAGAGAATTTGCTGAAAATAGAGAAGAGTGATAGTAAGTAAAGAGAGTTCTATTAGCAGGTATGAGCCCAATCATTGCAGATATCTCGGATACGTCAGATGTTGCAGTAACGTCAAATCCAGTTATCAAGGCAATATGCCCCAGTGAGGGATGGACGCAGGGCGGCACTCCGGTAATCATTATTGGCGAAAACTTCTTCGAGGGCCTCCAAGTCGCATTCGGCCCCACTACTGTTTGGAGCGAAGTACGTCTGTCTGCATTTATGATTCTTGGTAAAATACCAAAGATGTGACAATACTTTTTTGACACCTTTCATTTTCGGAGGTTTTCAAAATTGCCAAGTGCGGCAGCTGCAGTAGATTCTAACAGATTCGCAGTTAGAAATGTTCACTGATTACAGTCCGTGCAAATTATCACGCCGCATGCGATGCGCGTCACAACACCGCCACGGCACATGCCTGGAGTTGTCGAAGTTACATTAACATACAAATCAAAGCAGTTGAACCGGGGCAGTTCCGGACGATTTGTCTATGTTTGTACGTTCATTCATCTTATTGCATTAAACTTTTGAGCGCGCTGTTTCTCGACTGCGAGCAGCTTTGTGCACCTCTCTCTATTTTTGTCTCTACTACAAAACTCACCCGAATTTCAAATCCAGTAGTAATTGAAGAATGTATCACAGTTAATTGCAAGCAAAGCTGTTTCAGCTCTTTCGGAGCCCAATATTGATTTCGGTTTTCAACGACTCCAAAAACTGCTGCCAAAGTATCCTGGTGATCCGGAGAGGTTACCGAAGGAGCTCATACTGAAAAGGGCTGCAGAACTTGCAGAGGCATTATATAACAGGTATTTTAAACGTGCTTTTCGATTTGCTTTGAAGGCAACAGCTTGCTGCATCTTTTTTTACTTACTTGTTTTGCTTTAATAGTCCGCCAAACCATTTACCATATAATTATGCAAATTATAGCCAACAGTTTACTTTGCCGCCTCCAAGAACTGCGGCCGATCAGCTGTCCCAATACGCTTCTGCATATTCCGCCCAATTCGATGCCAGCAGTGGTTAGGCATATTTTTATGCGTTTTTTGCAGCTATGCAATGCAGAAAACGCATATTGACGAGAGGTTGTCTG